GAAAGAGGACCCTCCCCTAACTGTTCTTGCTGTATTCTTCCATCCTGCCAACCCTTCGGTGACAGCGGCAGCACCAGGCACGCCAGGATCCTCGCGCCTCCTCTCAGAGGCACCTGCAGTTACCACGCTTGGTAGACAGGCAGCACCACTAGGAAGTAGCCAGCCTGGCCATGATGCGGGTTTGTCTCCAGACAGCACTCCTGATGGTGGACCTCTCCTCCAGGCACACAGGGGCAGCCGAAGATCACCCCGATCTCCACACACAGAGGTCACAGGCATGTTCCCCTCATTTCAAACTTGAGGGAGGTCACCTTTGAGATTTGCTGTACTCACAAACACGCTTTACAATTCTATCATCTCACTTTTTAGCTGCCAGATGGCAGGTACACATGCCAGAGACAAAGAGAAAAAATACCCCCAATGGGGCGTAGTCACCCTACAATTATTTGCTCAATTTCTCCATTCTGTCTGGATCTAGGCATGCAAGCACATGCACGCGGCACTTTTCAAGCCTCCAGGACGGGGATTCTAACTGCAAGTAACTATGTGGGATCTGGCTACCTATGCACAGGGCTTACCTGAAGCACTGCAGGCCTGTTGCCCACCCAACCATCTTTTGTTTTTTCTAAGTCCTATATATATATTTAAAATTTGGGGACTGGTGGATGGCGTGGTGGTTGAAGTGGTGGACTCCCACATGGCTGAAGGTGGTTCGAGTCCTGGACCTGGCAGCCTGCTTTCTCTGCTGAGTGTGTGTGCATGTGTACCCAAAATCCTAAGAGGAGAGTGGAGAGAAGGGAATGCAGTGTGACCATCTCTCCTCAGGGGTGACCTCTCACTGTCCCTCTCACTGTCTTTCTCTGTCTCTCTCCAGCAAGTACACATGCCCTATGGCAAAATCTTAAAAAAAAATCTATAATCCCTCATAGCATTACAGTTTGTTTACTAGAAACTAAAACACACCTTTTAGGGAGTAACCCTGATTGTTTGTGGGGCATAACCACATCTCAGATTCATGTTTACTTGGATCTTATGTTTAAGTGGACCTTAAATTCCACAGCCTACATATATACATAAATTTTTAAAAATAATTATTTATTTTTATATTATTGTTACTATTATTTAATTTGACCAGAGAGAGAGAAAGAGAGGGAGACTGAGAAAGCAAACTGCTGTCTGAGGCTTGAACCACGGTTGACCATGTGGGAGTCCAGCACCTTAACCACCATACAAGTTGCTAGTCCATCTCTCTCTCTCTCTTTTTTTTTTTTTTAATAATTATCTTATTTAACTTTATTTGTTTATCTAATTAATTAATTAGACCAGAGAGGGACAGAGCAAGAGAGAGAGAGAGCAAGCGAAAGTGAGAAATCAAGCAGCCAGGTCTGGTACTTGAACCACAATTGGCCATGTGGAAGTCCAGCACCCTTAATCACTGCACCACCTGCCAGCACCCCCTACCCCCACCACCAACCTCCTTTTTAAAATGAATTGTCCGATATGTAAAGTGAGGTTATCTTTTCCTACTGAGTGCCTTAAAATGAATGTATACCACCTAAGAAAATCAGGCTGTACCCCACCAGTGATAAAGGGTCACTGGCAGGAAAAAATCCCCAGGTCTGGAAATAGGGCCAGGGTGGGACTTTCCCAGACAAATCTGATTGTTTCAACCTTCCAAGTTCTGACAAGGCCCTCTTCACCCCAGCCTTGGGCTGGTGCTTTCTGAGGGTTCCCCAGCTGAGGTCCAAGGAACTCTCACCCAGATTCTTGGTGGCTCATCTGCCCCTGCCAAGTTTTACTTCTACCAAGTTTTACTTACAACTGGTAAGATCATCTTTGCTCAGATTCGGCCCCCGAGTGGGACTTGCCAGCCTGGTAACCGCAATCATGACTGTGCCTCCACCCACACTTTGTGCAATTACTCGCCAAGTATCGCCCTGGCTGGATTCCTGCAAACTAAGCGGCGGTTGCTGTCATGCTCGAGTTCATCTACTGAAGCCCAGGCCCAGATGACGTCACACCAAGGCAGTTCCTCCTTGGGTCTGGGTAGACTTCCAGTCCTTTGGCACTGAATGTAGTGGCTCCTACTCAGACCCCAAGGAAAGCCTGGGTTTTAGAAGGTGAGACAAGAGTCAGCCTGCCTGCAGTTTCTTGGGGGCAGTCCTCACCAAGCAAAGTCCATAAACTGGTGGAGCGGGTAGTGACTGCAGGCAGAAAGGAAGGGCCCCTCCCTGATGGAAGGGCAGAATAGGGACTGCCACATGCTGAGGCTGTAGGAAGCAGAGGAAACCTTCCTGGTCTTTATCCGCTGGCATAAACTTCAAGATGTTGCCTTATCTCCAATCAGCAGCCTGAGTCCCAGGCTGGCTGCGCTGCAGCTGACCTTTGCACAAACCTCATCCTAAAGACCTTCCCTTTACGGCATGGTTCCCCTACAAAACTGCAGTGTAGGATTTACATTTACATCCTATTTTTGTTTCATCTCATGAAACACTGTGACTAGGGGCCAGCAGGTGGCATGGTAAAGGTGTTGGACTCCCCACATGGCCAACCATGGTTCAAATCCCAGACCTGGTAGGTTGAACATCATGCTTGGTGCATGTGCATGCATGCCCCAATCCCAGGAGAATGGATAAGGGATCAGGATGTGGCCATATCTATAGGGGGGAGGGGGTGATTTCTCACTTCCCCTCTCTTCAGTGGGTACACATGACCTATGTCAAAACATTTAAAAAACAAAACAAAACCCCACTGTGGTTATAGAAGGGAAGCCACACCAAGGCGCCCCAGAATCCCTGCCACATACTCACAGGTCACACAGCTCATGGAGCATGGGGAGCTCTTGACCTGAGGGTGGCGACATGTAAGCAGTCCATTAAGATTTGTAGTCTCCAGGATTCTTTTATTTTTTCTAGCTCATTTCTCCATTTATTAGAATAACCACATTTGGAGAGGCACAAAGTATTTAAGTTTTACATGACTACAAAGTTACCACAAATCCCAAACTTTTTAATCACACATATTTCACCTATTCAAGAAAAAGCTTTCAAACATTTGAGTTAGCTTAATACACAGAGACCCTGAATATGTGGGAACTACATATTTTAAATGCTCATACTTTGGGCTCTAATGATGTTTTCTTTAAATGGAATCCGGCATAAAAGGGATTGAAGTGTCTAAGGCCATGATGCAAATGCTTTGGATAGAGAGTGAAATTAATCTGCATGACGTGGAAAAAGATGTAGTGTGCTCAGGTCTAGCCAGCCTCACTGAGCCATCTGGGCTTCCATGGCTTGTGCTGTCCATTCTGTGCTGTCTGGCTAATTTTCTCCAAAAGATTATTTACTTGGAAACAAAGTGATTGGATCTGCTTATCTCACATTGGCAGTGCTTCTCGGGTTTCAAAATAAACTCTTCCATCAATCTGGTCAATGAATCCATTCATACATCCTTCTGTTATCATTTGAGATGCTATCTTTTCCGCCTTAGCTGCAGGGATCTCTAAAAGAGCTCCAAGTTCTTTTTTTTTTTTTTCTTAGAATGATTTATTTAATTTAATTTATTCATTCATTTATTTTAATTTGACCAGGGAAAGACAGACACACAGAGAGAAGGAAAGTGAGAAAGCAAGCCACCAGATCCAGGACTTGACCCGTGGCCAGCCATGTGGGAATGTCCAGCGCCTTAGCCACCACACCACCTGCTGGCCCCCAAAGAGCTCCAAGTTCTTCAAAGGTATATTATTATATAATTTCCTTGCAGACAACAAATTGTGTTCAGTAACAGCTCTTTCCAAGATGCTAGAACCATCAGCCGTAGTTGCTTTCTGGTGAGGCATCAGCATGGCAGCAAATTCTTGGAGCTGATTTCCTCTGATAATCCTGTCTAGGTACATTTTCTCTAGGATCCCATAAGCAGCAAGTTGCTGGCACCGTTCATCCTTAAAGAGTAGCCAGCATCCGAGAACACTGCTGTCCTGCTGACACTAAGATGGTACAGTGCAAAGCATGTTTTAAGGCCTCTAGTCTTTCACTTTCATGGACTATCGTCTTGTAACCACTGTGCAGCTTCAATGAATTTTCTTCTATAATCAAGAACACGTGCATAGCATACCTTATAATGTATCTATAACTGTTCATTGATTGATCCATTCTGAAGCAATGATGCTCAATTTGTGTAAGCCTCTGCCTGGACAGGATCATCCTCCTCCAGATATAACCTAGCAATCTTCAAGTAAGTCTCCAGTTTATAATCTACATTGTACTGTTTTTGTCCCGTTTCCAAAGGAATTCCTACCAACATGTAGGCTGCATTTCTCCAATCTTCTTTCTCATATATGGATGCAAGATGCTGTCTTATAGAAGCAACCTGCTCCTCAAATGAAATGACTCTAGGCTGGATCTTTTCCAAGGTGAAATGATAGATTTCCTTGGCTGTGCTATCAGGCAGGTTAGGGAGATGTGTTCAAAAATCAGTCAGCAACTGTCATGAGATCACTAGACTGACTTTCTCATTTATCATTGCTTCTACAGAAGCTCTCAAAGCTTCTAGCTGTTCTACACCAGATAGTTGAATGGCTTTCTCCAGGATCTGACGATACTTGCCCGCCAGATCTTTATGAGAACCACTTGAATTCATCAACTGGGCCAAATCCTGTCACACAACTGCCGCCATCTTTCTTCCAGCTCAGTGGCAGCTGCGGGACCTCTCCAGGATTCTGAGGAAAGCCAAGACGTCTGGGCCACCTCCCTGACTTTTGGGAGATGGCTGCAGGCTAGAATATCATCAGGTTTATCTAAAGTTGGCCCCTAGCAAGGTAAGGTACCTCCTGCTGCCTATGTCTGGTGCTGCCCTTTCTGGTGCATGGGACAAGGCCCCAGGGAGCTGGCACCTATGGGTCTCTCTCTACTCCCTCTGTTGGTAGTAAATGAAATGACAGTTCCTTTCGTATCTTCACTGACTGAAGGCCTTGAAGTTTCGGCCTTGCCTGCTGCTACATTCCTCAACAGTGACACTGATTTGGAGCTGGACAAGCTACCTTGTGTGACCCATGGATGGAATAATCTGGGGGAACATCAGAAACACCAAGCGTGACATGCCATGGATTTTGGTTTTACTAGAATCCACTTCAGAATCTCAAGATAAAGCTCCAGGTAATGTCTCTGACCCATCGGCTGAGGCTCTGGAGTGAGCACTATGGCACACCATCATCAGCAGAAAGCAGGTGCCGCCCCAGGATGGTGTAATGGCCGTGTGGCTGACTCTCATGGTTCAAGTCCCAGACCTGGTGGCTTAAAACTCATGCCAGCTGCATGTACGTGTGTGCCCAAAATCCCGAGGAAAATAGAAAACGGGTAGCAGAGTGGCCATGCCCCCGGGAGGTGATTTTTCACTTTCTGTCTCTGTCTCTCCAGTGAACATATGTGCCCTATAGCAAACAATCTTTCTTAAAAAAAAAAAAAAGAAAAAAAAATATGTGGCACATGCACACGAGGAGACCAGGGCCCTTAACCATGCCACTTGCCAGCCCCTAAGTGACCATAACTTCTGAGTAGCCATTTACAAGAAATGAGCAGTGACAAGGTGAAACATCTAGGACTCCTCAAACTCAGATGACAACATCTTCCAGACATGGCAGGATCTCATTCTTCCTGAAGTACATAAAAAAAAGAAACAGAGAACTGACTGAACCACGTGTTAAAAATGCATTTATTAAATATCCCTGGCTTTTCATTCAGGAGCTGCCAGAAGGGAAAGGCCTAGTCCTGATGCAGAGCGAGGCGAGACGACTCATTCTTGAACAGAAAGCACGGCATTCAAACCTGGCGGCAGAGCACAACAGTCAGAAATGCGGCCCAGACCCTGAACAGACCCCAACCTGGGCCAAGAACCAGAAGTTCCTGGCATCTATTAGAAGGGTAGCAAGTGAGGCATCAAACCTGCTCAGACAACAGAGGTGCAAAGACTTGATTTCAAATTCTATTCTGCTCCTCAAGTGTGCTAATAAGGGCTGGCCTCATTCTCAGCACCCATGTCACCATCTGTAAAAACGAGATCAGAAATACCACATGCCTACTGTGAAAATCGGGGATGTAACACACAACCAGCAGCTGTTATAAAAGCCTATGGCCACCAACAGCAAGAGAACTGAAGAAGCCCCTGACTCCTGGCCCCACTCTATCAGTGTGCTGCAGTCTCTGCACTGTCTACTAAGCACAGTCCACAGTTTTCTCATGACACACCACTGACCTAAGGGGATTCTGGAGGAAAGGCTGCAGGTCAAATCTAAACCACAAGGTCATCTATATACCATCTCCAAGAGCTCAGCTACCAGATTATTGCAAAGCCATCTTGCAAGTTCCAAGATAATTTATCTTTCTGGGAGTTAGAACATTGGAAGGTCAGAATTAAGTTGATAGCTTTTGAACTTGTGCTTGCCCAGATGACTCATGGAGTAGTGACACATGAAAGTGAGGCGCCTTTCAGGCAGACCCTTCCTGAATACCTACCCTCTTCCAGCTCTGGCATCCTGGGATTGGTGCTGCTCCAACAGTGAAGGATGGCAGGCACCCTTGAATCTCGATGCCATGTGAGGCAAGGACAAAGCAGAGCTGCTGGGAGAGCAGCGGTCAGGAACTAAGAAGGTCAGAAGTGGCTCTACTCTTGCCTGACGATTTCACAGATGCTGGAAGAAAATACAAAGCCCCTCCATTAGAGACAAACGGTAGTCAATTCCTGGCTACTGCAGCAGGCAGAGCACCAGTAGCTGCCCCACTCTCACCACTGGTGATTCAAAGGGAGTGGAAGGTGCCTTAGTGAAGGTGCCTGGAGACAGCAAGCATGCCTTCTCTTTGGTCTGGAGGACGGCCCTATCTCTCATAGCCCAAACAACTATAAAAAGGTAACCAGGACAAAGGGCAGCTAGTGACTCACAAGGCTGAGGGAACATGAGACTCGTGGACAACTGTCTCCTCACAGCGGGCCTGGGATGCTCAGCGACTGCACCTGGACTGCAGAGACAGAAAGAAATCAGCTGGAAGCCTCAACCTTCAAGAGAAGGTGACCCCACTGCTACTGAGAGAAATACATCCAAGCTGGTGACACGCCGCCCACCCCAGCCCTCACTGCACACAGCAACCCATACACCAAGACAGAAACACACGGGCAACTCCCTCCAACCCAAACTTCCAACTGGCATCCAGATTCTGTGTGGTCTTTCAGGCCTTTTATCTTGGAAAAGAGTATAGGCTGCAGGGTTAGAGGTCTGTCATCAAACCTTGACCTACCAGTTTTTATTAGGTCATTGCAATGTATTTTTCTATGCAAAACTACATCATGACTTTCCCAAAGACCCAATAGAAAGGGAATCCCAGACACACAATTCTGACTTGGGGCTCTTTGTTTGCATTGGTGATGCTGCAGATTTAAACTAGGCTAAGAAATAAAAGATGTGGCACAAAATGGGCTCAGCCAACATAAGCACTTTCCATATCCTATGGGGTCTTCCTTCCAGACCAGTGTACACTGAATTCACCTTCCATTAGCTGCCGGGGCACTCAGCCTCTCTGCTTCACTCCCTTGCCTTCTAACTGCAGACATCTATCCTCAGGTCAGGGCTCTTGTGCCGCTCTCTTCTACTTTGATTCAACTCATCTATCCTACCTCACTGAGCTTCATTTTTAATTAAAATAAATCAAAAGTGTGTGCATGTGGGGCAGCAAGTGGTATGGAGGTTAAGGCACTGGGTCTCACATGGCTGACTGCAGCTGGAGTCCTGGATCTTTTTTCCTCCCTCTCCCTCTCCCTGGTTGAGCACACATGCCCTATAGAGGTTTTGCTATAGGGCGTGTGTGCTTGCTGGAAAGACAGAGACAGAAAGCAAGAAATCACTCCTTGGACATGCCGCAATCCCTTCTTCATTCTCTCGGGATCTTGGGCACTCATGCATAGTTAGTTGCCTGGAATGAGTTTAAGCCACTGGGTTCAGGACACAAACCACAGTCGACTGAGAGTCCAGTGACGTAACCATTACGCCTCCTGCTGGCCCTGCAAATTGTATTTTTGACAGAACTTTGCCACACTGTGATCCTAACCCAGCCTCCCAGTTAGCTAGGACGTGGTTTATAGGTTCATACTACTGCTCCTGTCTGTTTATGCTGAGTCAGGAAGCAAACCTGGGCTTTTCAGGTAGTCCCAGCTTGCACCACCATGGCTGCCTCACTTTCAGTTTCTGTACAAGACTTCTCTTTCAAAGATGTGAGAAAACAAAATTGGTACAGAGCCTGTAGCACAGCAGATACTCAATCCCTCCCTTTGCTCTCTGTCCAGAAGATTATTTTTCTAATCTTCATGGTCCAATATGGTAACCACTAGCCACATATGCAAACTGAGCACTTGGACTACGGCTAGCGTTAAGAGATAAACTGTATTTTAAATTTTGCTTTTCAAACAAGAATTATTTTATTTAACTTTATTTATTTAAATTTGGCCAGAGAGGGACAGAGAAGAGGGAAAGCGAGAAAGCAAGCCACCAGGTCCTGGACTTAAACCGTAGTTGGCTATGTGAAAGTTCAGTACCCTTAACCCACGATGTCACCTGCTGGCCCCTTTGTTTTTTATTTTAATTTGACCATAGAGGGACAGAGTGAGAGAGAAGAAAAGTGAGAAAGCAAACTACCAGGTCTGGGACTAAAACTGCAGTTGGCCATGTGGGAGCCCAGCATCCTCAACCACCATGCTACCCGCCGGCCTCAAATTTCACTTATTTCATTTTAGAGATTTCTGCTATAGGACATGTGTGCTTGCTGGGGAGACAGACACAGAAAGTGAGAAATCACCCCCTGGGGGAATGGCCATACCCCAATCCCTTTCTCTCTATTCCCTTTTTGGGATTCTGGGCGCGCGCGCACGCGCACACACACACACACACACACACGTGCCTGGCCTGAGCTTTAAGCTGCTGAGTCTGGGACTCAAACTGTGGTTGACTACATGGGAGTCTAGCGATATAATCAGTATGCCATCTCCTGGTTCCAAATTTTGCTCATTAAAAAAAAAATTGCTGGAGGACACATGTATCTGCCAGAGACAAAGGAAAAGCAACAACAGACCCCACCCTTTATGTGGAGTAGTCTTGCTGCAATCCTTTCTACATTTGAAATTTTGGCCAAGCATAAACACACGCCCAGTGTTCTTTCCCAAGCCACCAGGTCCAGGACAAACTGTGCAGTCGGCCATGTGGGATTCACATGCTCTAACTCCCTACAAGGCCACCAGCTGGCCTTTAAGGTTTATTGGGTCATCAGAAAAGTCATGATGCATTTGTTTGTTTGTTTGTTTTCTATAGGGCGCATGCGCTCGCCAGAGAGAGACAGAGAGACAGCAAGAAATCATGCCCCGGGAGGATGGCCACATCGTAATCCCTTCTCCTACATTCTCCTCAGGATCTTGGGCATGTATGCACACGCGCCCAGCGTGAGTTTAAGCCACTGGGTCCAGGACTCAAACTGCGGTTGACTACATGGGAATTCAGTGCCATAGCCATCATAGCAACTGCTGGTCCCAAGTCATGATGCATTTTTGCATAGAAAAATACGGCATGACTTTCCCAATTATTTAATATTTAACCAACCATTTGTGGTTGCTACCTCAGACCGTACAAATTTACATGATGCCCAGCACATCAGGTCTGGGAGGGAGCAAGCAAATTGTCTGAAATTTCTATAACCTTGCTCTGGAAAGAGCAGGGCAAGGCCTCAAACCATTTCAAAACTGCTTTGGCAAGCACTGTAGGAATGCAAAGGGTCACCACAGACCCAAGCACGCTGGAGGCTTGCTACCATTCACCCAAATCTCCCAAACCCCAGGCATCCTGAGTGCTGAGGCATGAAGAGACCAAGGGGCTGAACTTGGTTCTAGAAGCCCACTGCTGCAAAGAACTGAACCAGCCTCTGTGGTGCACTCTGCAGTAGACTACTCAGCTGGAAGCCACATGCTAACCAATATCAAGTTCTCCACCTGGTCTGCCTGAAAAACACGCATGGTGTATGTGTGCCCAGGACACTGGTAAGCTGGAAGACTGGAGGAAAGGGATCTCACGGTGACAGAATCCTGTGGAGGGTGCTCTCTGTCCACCTTGGTATGTGAGCACAAGGCCCATCATAAAGTTGTTATTTTTTTTTAATTTTTGGAGAGGTTTTTGCTATAGGTTGCGTGCGCTTCGCCAGAAAGACAGAATGTGAAAAAATTATCACCCGGGGGGATGGCCATGCCACAATCCCTTCTTCTCCATTCTCCTCTTGGGATCTTGGGCACACATGCACATGTGCCCAGTGTGAGTTTAAGCTACCGGGTCCAGGGCTTGAACTGTGGTTGACTACATGAGAGTAACATAGCCATTATGCCAACTGCTGGTCCCTCATCATAAAGATTTCTAAAGAAGAAGGGGAGGCAGTTTGGTAGTGGTGGCTAAGGTAGCCAGACTCCAAGGCTGGAATCCTCCATGATGGTTTAGATGTGTGCATGCCCAAAATCTCAACAGGATGGGAACTGGCAAGGTAATATTGTGTGTCCACACTGCGGGGGGTGGGGGTGCTTTCTCTCTGCCTATCTTTCCTGTGCAGTCATGAGCTCTACCATAATTAAAAAAAAAAAAAAAAAAAAAAAAAAAAAAAAAAAGACAGAAAGCAAGCCCAGGGCCAGGGTCAGCCTCTGGAGTAGTGGTCAAGACAACTGGGTCCACATGGCTGACTGCACGTGGGAGTTCCGGACTCCACAGCTTGAAAAACATGCCACGAGCGCCCAAAACCCCCAAAGGAGAAATGGAGAAGGGCCATCCTCCCTGTGGGGTGGGGAGCTTTCTCACCTCTTTCTGGCAAGCACACAGGCCCTATGGCGAAAACAAAGGAACCCGAACTCTCAAGAGCAAGTACTTTTTGGCCGAGGGAGCAAGGGAACGCATGTAGGGAAGGTAACCTTATTAGACGTGACAAGGGCATTCCCCGATGAAGTTAAGGTTCAGAGACAACGCGGGCCCAGCTCCATGAAGACGAAGCCGGGCCTCAGAAACGCGACTTACCTGGACATTGCGCACAAGGTTGCCGGGAGCCCTCCACCGGCCACGGCGGCCCCACCTGGAAAGAGACAATGCGGTCAGCTCCGGCCTGCTTCCCATCCACCGCCCAGCCCCTGCCCCAGTCCCGCAACGCCAAAGGCCGCCGCGCAGCACCTCTGACTGGACCGTGATGGGGCCCCTCGAGGTCACGAGTCCCATCCCTCTTCGCGGGGTCCCTGTGGTCACTTAAGAAATCCAGTCTCCGTTCTGCTCGGCCGCTCCTCGCGAGGCAGCAGGCATGGGGAAGGCCTGGGCTCCTGCGCAGCCGGCTTCCCCTTCCCCAGAGGCCCAGCCTCCCGCCCTCGAGCGCCCACGCCCCTACCCAGGCTTGAAACACAGCGGGCACCACTTGGGCTCTCCGATGGCCTCGGATGGTAAAACGCCTGACAGCCGGCCACACGAGTTACCCACGCCAGCCATGACCACCGCCGCGCGTCTGACGTCACCGCGTAGTGCGGTCCAGCAGCCGCGCGGAGCGCCACGTGACCACGCCCTGGACGGGTGACGTCACGCGGGGAAGTGCGCGCGGCTCCTAAATCCTGCTCAGAGGGGCCTCCCAGCTGCTTTGCTTCTGGCGACCCTGTGGGTGGGGAGCGCAGTCTTCCGGTGGGTGGGGCGGTCGCAGGGTTAGTTGGCCACACGGCGGTTTGCCTTCCCTGCCTGCAGAGGGCTGGCTCGGCGGGAGCCGGGGGGGCGAGGGGGGACAGAGTGAGAGAGAAGAAAAGTGAGAAAGCAAACTACCAGGTCTGGGACTAAAACTGCAGTTGGCCATGTGGGAGCCCAGCATCCTCAACCACCATGCTACCCGCCGGCCTCAAATTTCACTTATTTCATTTTAGAGATTTCTGCTATAGGACATGTGTGCTTGCTGGGGAGACAGACACAGAAAGTGAGAAATCACCCCCTGGGGGAATGGCCATACCCCAATCCCTTTCTCTCTATTCCCTTTTTGGGATTCTGGGCGCGCGCGCACGCGCACACACACACACACACACACACGTGCCTGGCCTGAGCTTTAAGCTGCTGAGTCTGGGACTCAAACTGTGGTTGACTACATGGGAGTCTAGCGATATAATCAGTATGCCATCTCCTGGTTCCAAATTTTGCTCATTAAAAAAAAAATTGCTGGAGGACACATGTATCTGCCAGAGACAAAGGAAAAGCAACAACAGACCCCACCCTTTATGTGGAGTAGTCTTGCTGCAATCCTTTCTACATTTGAAATTTTGGCCAAGCATAAACACACGCCCAGTGTTCTTTCCCAAGCCACCAGGTCCAGGACAAACTGTGCAGTCGGCCATGTGGGATTCACATGCTCTAACTCCCTACAAGGCCACCAGCTGGCCTTTAAGGTTTATTGGGTCATCAGAAAAGTCATGATGCATTTGTTTGTTTGTTTGTTTTCTATAGGGCGCATGCGCTCGCCAGAGAGAGACAGAGAGACAGCAAGAAATCATGCCCCGGGAGGATGGCCACATCGTAATCCCTTCTCCTACATTCTCCTCAGGATCTTGGGCATGTATGCACACGCGCCCAGCGTGAGTTTAAGCCACTGGGTCCAGGACTCAAACTGCGGTTGACTACATGGGAATTCAGTGCCATAGCCATCATAGCAACTGCTGGTCCCAAGTCATGATGCATTTTTGCATAGAAAAATACGGCATGACTTTCCCAATTATTTAATATTTAACCAACCATTTGTGGTTGCTACCTCAGACCGTACAAATTTACATGATGCCCAGCACATCAGGTCTGGGAGGGAGCAAGCAAATTGTCTGAAATTTCTATAACCTTGCTCTGGAAAGAGCAGGGCAAGGCCTCAAACCATTTCAAAACTGCTTTGGCAAGCACTGTAGGAATGCAAAGGGTCACCACAGACCCAAGCACGCTGGAGGCTTGCTACCATTCACCCAAATCTCCCAAACCCCAGGCATCCTGAGTGCTGAGGCATGAAGAGACCAAGGGGCTGAACTTGGTTCTAGAAGCCCACTGCTGCAAAGAACTGAACCAGCCTCTGTGGTGCACTCTGCAGTAGACTACTCAGCTGGAAGCCACATGCTAACCAATATCAAGTTCTCCACCTGGTCTGCCTGAAAAACACGCATGGTGTATGTGTGCCCAGGACACTGGTAAGCTGGAAGACTGGAGGAAAGGGATCTCACGGTGACAGAATCCTGTGGAGGGTGCTCTCTGTCCACCTTGGTATGTGAGCACAAGGCCCATCATAAAGTTGTTATTTTTTTTTAATTTTTGGAGAGGTTTTTGCTATAGGTTGCGTGCGCTTCGCCAGAAAGACAGAATGTGAAAAAATTATCACCCGGGGGGATGGCCATGCCACAATCCCTTCTTCTCCATTCTCCTCTTGGGATCTTGGCCACACATGCACATGTGCCCAGTGTGAGTTTAAGCTACCGGGTCCAGGGCTTGAACTGTGGTTGCCTACATGAGAGTAACATAGCCATTATGCCAACTGCTGGTCCCTCATCATAAAGATTTCTAAAGAAGAAGGGGAGGCAGTTTGGTAGTGGTGGCTAAGGTAGCCAGACTCCAAGGCTGGAATCCTCCATGATGGTTTAGATGTGTGCATGCCCAAAATCTCAACAGGATGGGAACTGGCAAGGTAATATTGTGTGTCCACACTGCGGGGGGTGGGGGTGCTTTCTCTCTGCCTATCTTTCCTGTGCAGTCATGAGCTCTACCATAATTAAAAAAAAAAAAAAAAAAAAAAAAAACACAGAAAGAACACCAAGGCACAGGGTCACCCAAAAAAAAAAAAAAAAAAAAAAAAAAAAAAAGACAGAAAGCAAGCCCAGGGCCAGGGTCAGCCTCTGGAGTAGTGGTCAAGACAACTGGGTCCACATGGCTGACTGCACGTGGGAGTTCCGGACTCCACAGCTTGAAAAACATGCCACGAGCGCCCAAAACCCCCAAAGGAGAAATGGAGAAGGGCCATCCTCCCTGTGGGGTGGGGAGCTTTCTCACCTCTTTCTGGCAAGCACACAGGCCCTATGGCGAAAACAAAGGAACCCGAACTCTCAAGAGCAAGTACTTTTTGGCCGAGGGAGCAAGGGAACGCATGTAGGGAAGGTAACCTTATTAGACGTGACAAGGGCATTCCCCGATGAAGTTAAGGTTCAGAGACAACGCGGGCCCAGCTCCATGAAGACGAAGCCGGGCCTCAGAAACGCGACTTACCTGGACATTGCGCACAAGGTTGCCGGGAGCCCTCCACCGGCCACGGCGGCCCCACCTGGAAAGAGACAATGCGGTCAGCTCCGGCCTGCTTCCCATCCACCGCCCAGCCCCTGCCCCAGTCCCGCAACGCCAAAGGCCGCCGCGCAGCACCTCTGACTGGACCGTGATGGGGCCCCTCGAGGTCACGAGTCCCATCCCTCTTCGCGGGGTCCCTGTGGTCACTTAAGAAATCCAGTCTCCGTTCTGCTCGGCCGCTCCTCGCGAGGCAGCAGGCATGGGGAAGGCCTGGGCTCCTGCGCAGCCGGCTTCCCCTTCCCCAGAGGCCCAGCCTCCCGCCCTCGAGCGCCCACGCCCCTACCCAGGCTTGAAACACAGCGGGCACCACTTGGGCTCTCCGATGGCCTCGGATGGTAAAACGCCTGACAGCCGGCCACACGAGTTACCCACGCCAGCCATGACCACCGCCGCGCGTCTGACGTCACCGCGTAGTGCGGTCCAGCAGCCGCGCGGAGCGCCACGTGACCACGCCCTGGACGGGTGACGTCACGCGGGGAAGTGCGCGCGGCTCCTAAATCCTGCTCAGAGGGGCCTCCCAGCTGCTTTGCTTCTGGCGACCCTGTGGGTGGGGAGCGCAGTCTTCCGGTGGGTGGGGCGGTCGCAGGGTTAGTTGGCCACACGGCGGTTTGCCTTCCCTGCCTGCAGAGGGCTGGCTGGGCGGGAGCCGGCGGGCCGAGGGAACCTAGCCGCGCCCGCAGCAGTGTGGGTGTACCCTGGGAGTGCGCCGGGCACTTCGCAAAGCGCGCACCAAGGTGTCAGTAGGTGTGTGGGGCAGGGGTTCCTTTCAGGTTAGCAGCAGGGCCTGGTACACGAGTGACAAGAGGGTCGAGGAGGTAAATGATTCCCAGGGGCCAGAGGAGGTGTGTGACGCCCCCCCCCCTTTTTTTTGAGAGGTTTTTGCTATAGGGCGCGTGCGCTCGCATGAAAGGCGAAGTTAGAAAAAATGAGAAATCACTCCCAAGTGGGGAGGGCCACACTGCAATCCCTTCCCCTCCATTCTCTCCGGATCTTGGTCACGCACGCACCCGCGCCCAGGGTGTGTGACCCTAGAGGGACACAGGAACCGGTAGGGAAGAGAACAAGTAGCTTCTGGGTTGTGAGCTGGTCTCTTCCACCTGGCACGTGGTAACTAGAAAAGCTCAAGCTATTGCCAAGAGCTAAGGTGAAAATCAGACTTTGGTTTATGAACATTCTTCCCTCCTTTATGTCCCTGTGTGGGTCGGTCCTTGAAGTGTCAACAGGAGCTTCTAGAAGAATCTTAATTGCCTTGCATAGATCTGAAATCTGTCTTTTTCCTTTATAAACGCTTAATTCTCCCCACATTTTTGCACCACTCACTTGGTTTCACCCACATCTGTGCTATCGTCCAACTAATGAGAGGATACCAAAGCATAAAAATCTAATAAAGTCCAGTTGCAATTATGGCTGGACGCAACAAGGCTGGTGCAAAGAGACAGACATGTCAATGCTTTTTGTCTTTTTTTGGAGAGGTTTTTGCTATAGGGCACGTGAGCTCGCCAGAGAGAGAGACGGAGAGACAGAAAGTGAGAAATCACCCCCTAGGGGGGGTGGTCACGCCGCAATCCCTTGTCCTCCATTCTCCTCTCGGGATCTTGGGCATGCATGCACACGCATCCAGCATGAGTTTAAGCCGCCGGGTCCAGGACTTGAAATGGAGTCCAGCGACATAGCCATTACACTAACTGCTGGTCCCACAATTGGTTTTTTTTTTTTTTTTTGAGAGATTTTTCACTGTAGGGCGCGTGCGCTCGCCAGACAGACAGAGAGAGACATAGAGACAGAAAGCGAGAAATCACCACCCAGGGGGGATGGTCACGCCGCAATCCCTTCTCCTCCATTCTCCTCTCGGGATCTTGGGCACGCACGCACACGCGCCCGGCCCCACAATTGGTTTTTGAAGTTTATTTCTTCTATGGGGGTGGACCGCTAATAGGGTCTTCAGTCCACAATCCACTCCAGCCTCAGCCAGCCAGGAGTGTGTGTGTGTGTGTGTGTGTGTGTGTGTGTCTGTGTGTCCTGCTGTGTGTAAGACCTCAGGATGGAAGCCTCGGACCTTCACATATGACTTCAGCATTTTGGGGCATTGGCTGGGACGGCATTTTAACTGCTATCAGAATACTGAAAATAGGGAACCAGAGTTAGCATAATGGCTATGTCGCTGG